GCAGTGAATGCGTCAGGACGGCTTACTGTGCTGCAGATGCAAAGGCAGCCCCTCACCCGCGTAACCTGGTCCTCTCATTATGACCTGTGCCGTCCTGGCAAGTGTCTGCCCTTGTGGCTGATATAGGGGGTGTGCAGTTAAGAAAGCTCCTGGGGGTGCAGTGGCTCATGCCTGTAATCCCAGCACTCTGGGAGGCCAAGGCAGGCAGATCACCTGAGGTCAGGAGTTCAGCCTGACCAACATAGTGAAACCCCATCTCTACTAAAAATACAAAAATCAGCCATGTGTGGTGGCATGCACCTGTAGCCCAGCTACTCGGGAGGCTGAGGCAGGAGAATCACTTGAACCCAGGAGGTGGAGGTTACAGTGAGCCGAGATTGTGCCACTGCACTCTAGCCTGGTCAACAGTGAGACTCCGTTTCCAAAAAAAAGTTCCTAAGGGCAGTTATGAGATGATGGAGCTTAGATGCTGACCAGGAGGAGGCCTATCTGAGCTGCCTCGGGAGGGAACAGGGTCCCTGCCATAGGCAGATTCAAGCAGGTCTCTGGGGTGGCCTTGAAGGCAGGCCTCTTCCCACCCTCGACTGCACCTGTTGCGTGCTGAAGGGAGGTTGGGGACCTGGAGCCTGGCTCCTGCTCAAGCACATGCTCTTGCCTTCACAGTCGGACATGCTGCGGTCTCTGGCCACCACCCGGCCCACGGTGAATGCAGACGACCTCCTGAAAGTGAAGAAATTCTCAGAGGACTTTGGGCAGGAGAGTTAAAAGCTGCCTCACTTGGGCGATGGTGAAGGTGGGAGGTTGATGGGGGCAAATGCAGGCACTCCTTGTGTCAGCAGCCAGACAGGGCTCCAGGGCTTGTCCCAAAGTCACTACAGAGTCCCTCTGCTGTCTGGCCGCCTGCCAGGGAGCCAGAAGGAAGAGCCTCGCAGCCACAGACACTCCACCGCCCCGGGGCACATGGTGGACACTGGCTCTTCCTACTTCCTCCTCTCCTGGATGCTCACCAGCTCCTTCTCCCCCCCCCCCCTTTTTTTCCATCTTTTGTTCCCCTAAATTAATGCTGCTTGGATTTTCGTCTTGTTTATAAATAAAAATAAAATCACCTGGAAGTGTCAAGGAGTGGGGGGCGGGGGGAGCAGCCATGCTGCGAGGTCACCCAGACCTCCAGACAGTTGGCTAGCTCCACTGCCCATTCCTTTTACGCCCAAGTTTTGCTCCTTGAGAGCAGATTGGCTGATGCCCCTGCAACCCCAGCCCAAGCTCTGCCTCAAAGACTGAGTGACATAAGCCATTCCCACCCTCCTAGGTTCACATCCAGGGCTGTGTCTTCCTTGGGGGAGGAGATGGTGTCGTTCAGATCAGGGGAAGGCAGTCAGGCGGGTGTTCACTGCCTTTTCTTCCTGAGCGTGAGAACACTGAACCCAGCCACTGCCCCTGGGTCCCTGTCCTGAAAATAGTCTAATAAATCTTTTTCCCTTCTTGAGCCACCCGAGTGATCTCATCTTTGACTCTTGCCTGGGACTCTGAAGGACCACCCTTACCTCCAATTAAAAGACCCTCTGGTTTTCTCTCTGCTCTCTCTTCTAAAGCAGAGCAGGAAACAGGAACGCTGCAGTTCTCAGGCCTGTTCTCCAGTCAGGTGTGCAAGGCCGCCTCCCCTTAAGGCCTCAGAAGTTTGGCTGGGGGTGTTTGGGATCCAGACAGTTCTCGCCGTTGTTCGGCCTGCAGATCAGAGACTGCAAAGTGAGAGCCCTGCGTGCCAGACCCGTCCTACAGCTGTGTTTGGTCTGCCGCTAACATTTAAAAATTGAAAGTTGACATAAAAATTCAGAATTCTGACTTCTAGAAGATCAAATTAGGCTATGTTGGGTCTGCATCCTCATGGGGCAGCCTGTCCGTGGCCACTGAGTAGAGGCTGCTCTGTGCAGAAAGGGGCCCCTTCCCCACTCATCTGTGTTGCCTGCCCAGATAGCCCCTGTGGCCATTTCAGTTTGTGACCCCCAACAGACACCAAGGGCCCAGAGCTGGCAGCCCTGGACATGTGTCCGGCAGGCAGTGAAGCTGCAGAGGCTGTCCCACGTTTACCCCATGCATATGAACAGACCTAAGTCAAAGCACATTCACACAGAAAGACCTGGCCTAGTAAATGAAGCTTGTAGCCTGGGAAAAGGGCTTTGTTCCAAGCCTCCCTCGCCAAAACCCAGTACCTCTCTACCTTTCAAACCTGGCTGGGCCAGAACTGATTACATGACCAGCTCTTGGCTCACACTGGCCTTGCACTGGGCCGTTTCTTTGCTCTGGTTCGAAGCCTCTGCAGAAGTGAGCTAACTTTGGACCAGTAGCTCCAAGACTTGGCTCCAGTGCTGACGGGTTACCCCTCAAGCACAGCAGCTGGGATCTTCGTGGCTTGGGGGCACTCGTTTAAGTTCTTGGTTATGTACCCCAAGCCCCCAGGAAATGAACCGTGTCTACAGAGCTTCACTTTAGTGAGCTTACAAGTTTTTAAATTTTTAACTTCTAGTTACATTTTTTGAATCAGAACTTTTGTTTCCTCATTGCTACTGCTTAAACACCTTAACAAATACTAGGGGTTAAGAAAGGTTAGTGCGGCCATGGTCCACCCCTGTGCTCTAGTTAGAGCGTGAACCTGTCTTTCCACTTCTCTCTCTCCATGACCAGCAACAGGAACCACTGGTGCTGAACCTTGGACAGTGGCCTCAGACTCGCTGCCAGCACACAACCTGCCATCATCGATGTTAAACATGCTGACACGTGCAGAGGAGTTTCCTCCCTGAAATGCTCTGAAATTCACTTCTCTACCTGGGGATTCTGTTCTAAACCTTCTGCCTACACTGGCTTTCACTGTGGAAGGTGATTTCTAAAACTCTGATTAGCTCATAATATTGACGTGTACATGTGTTTTTTGTGAGTGCTGCTTGCTTGAAGTGGAAGAGATTTCACTGGAAATGCAATAAAATTTGCATTTTATTGCTACCAATGCCCACCACAAAGGCGTTAACCTCAGACTATAAGCATCAAAATGTCACCATAGCCCCCTGCAAGAGCTTCTGAACATTATCCAAATGAAAGGAGGCTCACTGAATTCTAATTTTCCTAAAGACCCATGTTTTCAGTAGCAATGAGCTTTCTACCAATCTCCCCATTGGCCGCATCTCTGACCTTGCACCAGTACCTGGTTGGGATTCCCTTTTTTTTTTTTGAGACGGAGTCTCTGTCGCCAGGCTGGAGTACACTGGCAAGATCTCAGCCCACTGCAACCTCTGCCTCACAGGTTCGAGTGATTCTCCTGCCTCAGCCTCCGAAGTAGCTGGAATTACAGGCGCCCACCACCACGCCCAGCTAGTTTCTGTATTTTTAGTAAAAACAAGGTTTCGCCATGTTGGTCAGGCTGGTCTTGAACTCCTGACCTCAGGTGATCTGCCCGCCTTGGCCTCCCAAAGTACTGGGATTACCGGCATGAGCCACCAAGCCCGGCCGGGATTCCTTTTCAAAGTCAGGCTGTACCTAGAGCCAGTTTGCTTCTGCTTGGCCTCATGGGGCCTCAAAGCCATAGGGGAGAACGGGTCTTTCCTGGGTTCATTTAACTGCCATTTACAACACATTTTCTCTAAAAAGCTACTGGACATCCTATTACTTGTATAGTTTGATTTTGAGGACTCTGTTTAGCAAGAATACCTACTTTACAAAACTCAGCATAAAAATGAGGTGAAACGGGGCCGGGCGCGGTGGCTCAAGCCTGTAATCCCAGCACTTGGGGAGGCCGAGACGGGCGGATCACGAGGTCAGGAGATCGAGACCATCCTGGCTAACACGGTGAAACCCCGTCTCTACTAAAAAATAC